CACCCTCCTCCCCGCCATGAAACCCACAATAATGGATTTCAAAATTAAACAGAAGGGGCAGAATGGGTTCGCGAGCAATTTTCCAAGTTGACACCCCCTCCCCCCCTCGCGCTCATAAAAAAAAAACAACAAATAGGGCAAATTGGGCCTGTTAGCTATTTCCTAAATTGACCCCTGATTATGGAAACCGTGGGGCGGAATAGGTTTGTTCATCATTTCCCGAATTCCCCCTCGCCAGAATAAAACCAAAAATAATCGATTTCAAAATTCAACAGAAGGGGCAGANTGAAATAGAATAAAAAATATGCCTGCGACTGCTGACAGTTTACCGCCGACTCGATAATTTAACACTGGCGCCATCTCGCGGCATTCTCCCATCTGAACTTCTTTACCACACAGCACACCATCAATAATTTCTCCTAATTATACAAAATAACCTATTAATAGGTATTAATTGGGACCAATTGTTTGTCTGTCAGCATTTAAATAATTTTTTGATTATATTCCAATCATTTTTGGCCCATTTTTCGCCTTAAAATGACATCCATGCACATCCATGCTAGATCCATGCTACAACATGGATCCTTATTCGCCAGGGTACCTAAAACAGACATACATACGCACAGGCATACATACCCACATTCATTCTGTTTTTATGAAACCATCACTCCTTTGCCTTTATTTACACTGTGTAATCGCTCATAGGTATTGGTTTATTGTGGTATTTTAGTCACCCTTACCATAATTTTCGAACTCCACTAATAAATAACTCATTATTTGAAGTTCGAAAATCATCGAAATAAAATTCCTTTTTTTTCTGGTACATAAAATTCCATACGGGAATTTCAAAATGTAATGACAATTGTAAACCTAATTTTTTTTGTCTAAAATTAGAAAAGTTAAATGAAAAATTGATATTGTTGAAATTAAATCTTTAACAATTCGAGGAATGAAATAAAAAGTTTGAGAAAATCAATTGTTTCAATAACCAACTTCAGTATAAAAGTGAAAATTTATAAACAAAAAAGTGATAACGCCCAGTGCGATATTGAATATCTCCAAAACCACTCGACCGATTGCGTCCATCCACAATACCAACCTTTTATGTTATAAAAGCTAGAAGCATACCGTATTTCAATTCGTTATTTCCATTTTTATTAAGGGTGCCAAGTGAATTTGAAAAAAGATTCAAAAAAAATTTTTTCTTTCCCTCCATCATTGGAGAAATATGTATTCATCCATCCGACGAAATTTCAAACCCGCAACCGGAACTAGACATCGAGAAAATAAATGCGGAAAATCCTCTATTTCGCGTGATGAACCTCGAGAAAGCATGGAATCAAATGGGTACGGCGGGTTGAAATATCTCTCTTATTCACCCCGGTACCCCATTGTTTTTTGTCGCCATCACATTGAACACATCATTCCCCATATCTTCAAATTTTTTCAAATTTTTCTTGAGTTCCTAGGGGGTTGAAACGTTCAATTTAATCAAAACTCCATAAGAGGCCGTGTATAAGACTGATTTTGTTTATTTAATTTCTCGATATCCATAAGTTCTAAAATTTTAAAATTGTCACCGATGTTCACCATCTGTCTAATACTATTAATTAAAAAAATTATAACTTTGTTGGTGAATGTCAATTTTCAAGGTCATCGCCAAATTCACTTGGCACCCTTAAGTCATCTTGTAAATAAGATTTTTTATAAACAAGTAGGCGACTGCAACCATGCGGCTGTACATATTCTACTGAGTAGGGCGTCTATTCTTTTCTCGCCATTAATACAGTAGACTCTCGTTATAGTCGCATTCGTTATAGTCGCATTTCCCCTTATATCGATTTTTTCGAGCTCGAGCGCTTCCCCCACTCCGTACCACCTCCGAGGTGTGGATTTAAATGCCCCTGTGTTTTCTCGGAATGGGCTTTGTTTTGCATTTCTAAGAAATTCGGGAAATAAAATTTTGGAAAAATGAATTTGCGAGAGACAAATTCAGTTCACTCTTGACTGTCACGAAGAGAGGGTCTTTGCAGTGGTGCATAATCCTGCTTTTTATTTGAATGAAGTCAATAAATTTTGGAGTGTATTGAACAATGCGATGTTATTAATATTTCTATTCATTTCATTAATTTACTAAAAGTGTTCAACGCAATTCATTTTGTTAATTTAATAAAAGTGTTTAATGAAAATAATTTTTATATTTAATAAAAATGTTCAATGCAAATTGAAGAGAAAAATAATTGGAGTAAAATTTATTTTCTTATCGCTCCCAATTCCCAGAATTTAGGCTTACCGTGAGCGCCTGGTGGGGGAAGAGAAATACAGTCCCATTCTCAGAATCGGCTGCCCCTACAGCCCCGTGAGTGCGACTATAACGAGAGTCTACTGTATATTGATTGCGGGCTTCCGAATGCGGGCATGAATGAAGTAAGCTCTAATCTAGTTGAACTTAAATAAAAGGAAATAGTACGATTGTGAGATTGGGATACTCGTTATTGAGATATTGAAGGAATGAAGTTCACATTCAAACTTGAATTGACCGATTGAGCCCATCTTCCATACCGGTCTTTGCGATGACAAGAGACAGCTTCATGACAAATTTCAAGTCCATATCTGAATTTTTACTCAAGTTAGAGCGCGAACAAGTATTTCAAGTCAAAAACAGAAAAATCCAAATATCTCAAAAACTTTGTATGAATGGGTATATTTGTTTTGATTGATTTAGATAGAGGACATCATGCCGAATATTTTGAAAAAAAAATATTGAAATTGGTTGGGTATTTTCCGAGATATTTGCGAGAACAGGTTAAAAAACGAATGGCTATTGCTANCAAGTCAAAAACAGAAAAATCCAAATATCTCAAAAACTTTGTATGAATGGGTATATTTGTTTTGATTGATTTAGATAGAGGACATCATGCCGAATATTTTGAAAAAAAAATATTGAAATTGGTTGGGTATTTTCCGAGATATTTGCGAGAACAGGTTAAAAAACGAATGGCTATTGCTAAAAAACTAATGGACGGATCAAGCTGAAGTTTGGCATGGAGTTAGTCTCAAGTTATACCAATTAATTGAAAAAATTTCAAACTTTTTGGAGTGATTTTTTTCGTTTAATTATCAAATTTACGGAAAAATGACCACCGATTGGACAGTGTCACACACAAACATGGTCCCCAAACTTCGTATTTTTACGTTTCAGACCATTCTGCATCATTTCCAAGCAAAATTAGAAAATGTGAAAATCGGACGATTGCAATACTTCCAGTCGCAAGCAAAAAATGGAAAAACGGCAATATCTTTAAAGTTTGTCTGTATCGGTATTATATATTTTGATTGATCTAGATAGAGGCCATCAAAAAGAGTATTTTCAAAAAAAAAATTGAAATCGGTGGAGTAGATTTTGAAATATTGAGGAAAAACGAAATTTAAAGAAGTTGTTATATGTCAGAAACTACTGGACCGATTGGGCTGAAACTGCGCATCAATAGCTTAAGGGTATTATGGCGGTGTCCATAGCTGGAAAAAAAAGCAGAGAATTCAATGAAAATTGCTGAACAGATTATTCGATCCATATGAAAGCCGTGTGCAAAATGTCAAGACCCCTACTTAAACAATAATAATGGGAATAATTTTTGAAGTCGCTACTTATACACGCGGTTGAATGGGGCATCGGTAATTTTAGTGCTGTTCCTACGTTATTGATCTATCGATACAGTACACATACAATACTGTAGTTATGACCCTAAAAACATCATTTCTTCACGTTTCATAACATTCTAGACCATTTGCCATCAAAATTGGAAAGTCGAAAAATCGCTCAAATACAAGGCTTCCATTGGGAAGCAAAAGGTAGAACTCATGCCCTAGACATGCAGTGAGAAGTTAAATTTGATACGATAATCAATTTCGTGTCTGTACAGACTGCGGAATATTTTATGACAACTCGTGCATAGACAGTAGCAATTGAAACTGTAAAAATTTCAATTTTTAGTAAAAATTTGCCTGAGTAATGCATTTTCAAATTCCAGCTGAGATCGTGCTTTCTTGTAGGAGGAATTTCAGTTAGATCTTTTTGTACCAAGTTGGATATTCAAAAAATTTAAATTCCGAGATAGCACTTTTCAAATTATTCTCTCGAGATATCCCTTTTCTTTTATGACACACCGTTTATAACCTTATTCGATTCCGTTTATTATTGTTGGGTTCTTACTGTCTTCTCGCCCATGGGATGTACCATTTGCATTGAGTGATTAGCGTTGTGAAATATGCACCATATTTCCAATTATTACCGGGTAATTTCAGCTCCTCCTCGGTGACACTTCGGTAGTTTGAGACCAACGACTCCATCCACGGATTCTGTTTGAATTATGCAGACGCAATAAGTTTCATTACGAGGATAATTAATTTTTTGCATGACAAAATTATGCAGTATCTGTTCGAAAAAATATGGGATTATGTTCCGGAGATCCTAAATTAACATGGAGAGTTTGATTCATCAAATTATTCATTACTTAAATATGGAGATTAGATAATAAATATTGAATTAATCAATTAATTAAATTAGACATTCAGAGATATAGAAGCATAATTTTCCATTGGAAAATGAAAGTCATCTTTTGACACGGGTACTTTAGGTACTTCAGACTGATAATAAACGTCTTATCTTAGCAAACTTGTCTTGTAATTTAATCATGAAAATTCAGAGATATATTGAGACTCCATCGCTCGGCAAATTATAATTATCCTTCCAACAATAAAGATATTACATGCCATATTTTCGTGAATTGTCAAAAAATGTTTCACACAAACCTTGACAGCGTTCGGTCCCTCATTAGAGAAAATATACCCAGAAATTTCGACAACTCCGGCATTAGCAGCCTCTCGACTTTTTCGAATTCCATCGTAGAACTCGTAAGAATCGTTCACCCAATTTCTTCATTCAACCAGAAAAAAAACAATTTTCCATACTAAGTCGTAAATTTAAATTGGTAGGGACCCGTGAGGTTAAAGTAAAGATAACACACCTCGTTATCTCCTCGCTCGGTCCAGAGAATGACTTCCCGACCCTGAATAGCCCAGCTGCCACATAACTGACGATATTCTCGTACTTCTCAGCATAAATAGTGACATCAGAATTTCTCAATTCTCCTTTCAACTGCAGGGCAGTTGTTATCCCAACAACCCCGCCGCCAACAACTGCGACTCGCATTGTTATGATGAGACTCGGGAGAGGCACGGTGAACGACTGAAAGGGATATGCAATGGAGCTCAAATAAAAAACATTTGTCATGAAGACATTTGATAATAAATTGGAATTTACTGGGGCTTTATATCCACGCCTGGGCTCCATTGTTGCTTTCAAATGAAATTTAAATTTAAGTATTCGACTATTCAAAATTTTCTAATTTTACTTGGGAGTAATGCAAAATGGTCTAAAACATAAATATACAAAATTGACAACAATGCACGTTTGTGCGAATGTTTATCGACACCCTTTTGGCATCCAATTTTTGGATGAATTGAAAAAATAAAAATGCTTAAACAATTCCAAAAAATCTAAAATTTTATCAGAAAGTTAAAAGTGATATCGACTAACTCTGTGCGAAATTTCAGTACGATTAGTCCATTAGTTTTTGAAAAAGGACTTGATGGACATTTATAGGATTGATCTTTCGTTGTGCCCCACGCACTCAGTGCCATATATGCCGTTGCGATACGTTGTAATCCAACTCAATTTATTAATTTAACTGACGCATCAATAATTAGTGTGATATAAAGACGAACAAGAGATTTAAAAAAGAGGAAAGGAGCCAAATAATGCTAAAAATTATATTCGGATTTTCCGTGAAGCAGACAATTAAAAATGTTCTCGAAAATAGCTATTGTAGACTGAAACCTTTTTTTCTCGGTATTACCGATGTTGAAAAAATTGTGTAAAAAGCCTCAACAAAATTCAAATTTTCAAGGTACATATTCGTATTAATACTTGGCCCAACCATTCATATATTAATATGAAATGAATATTATATTGAACAAGCAGGGGTTCGAGCCTTTTTGGCCGAAGCCATCTGACCGTTACTTTATGTGTTATAACTCTTTGTCTTTCTTTCATTTCTACCAATTCCATTGGTAGTAAGCTTCCGAATGGAATAGAAGGCATTCGGATAGAAGGCATCGAAACACATATTTTGAAAAAAAAAATTAAAATCGGTTGCGTAGTTTTTACGCTATTGCACATAAAAGGTTTTCAGAGAAAGTCGAATATCTCGGAAACTACCTATGCGATTGAGCTCATTTTCAATAGAAAGTATTTTTATCATGAGAGGAAGATTGTGTACAAATTTCAAGTTGATCTCACAATTTTTGCACAAGCTAGGGTGATTACAAGGATTTTTATGAAAAAACAGAAAAACGGAAATATCTTGAAAACTTTGTATAAACGGCATATACTTTGTATATGTTTTGATTAATTCGGATAGAAGGTATCGAAACGAATATTTTGAAAAAAAAATTGGAATCGGTTGACTAGCTTCGAAGATAGTAGCGAAAAACGATTTAAAAACGAATAGCTTTTTCTCAAAAACTATTTGATCAATCGGGCTGAACTTTTGCACAGAATTAGTCCTTGTGAAGGTCTATAATCTGACAAAATTTCAGATTTTTTGGAATAAGTTTAGCCAATTAATTACTCAATTTTCCAAAAATTGTCCACCGGAACCAAAGAGGATAGACCTGAGTAGAGGCCCGGATCGGGGGGTTTGACTGACTCCAAAAAAGTTAGTTGGTACCCCACGGGAAAGGCGGCGTTCCGGTCGAATTGTCGGTAAATGTGAGTCGGGTGCGTGAGTAACTCGGTAGTAGCAGTCCCGCTTGGTCCCGCTCTGACACGGACACGTTCGGTGGGGGATTTTTGTCCTCCTTGTACTCAATGTTTACTTTATGTTTTTCAGTTGATTTATTCGCCGACTAATTAATATTAAGGGATGAAACAAAGACTGTTCAATGGAGAATTAAATTTCCCATCCATCAACCCCCGTTTCATCCCTTAATCTCTGCAATAAAAAAATTAATATTGCGACGAAAGTCACGGGGCTATAAGAAACCCAATGTTTTCTCGGCGCAGAGTGACTCCCCAATAATTCGCCCGCTAATTAAAAAATCGTCT